TTGATTGTGGGGCTAGTCACTTGTGTATACCTATGTCATAACCCCGAACTGTATAGTTTTGTGATGGTTTCAATGTCAATTATCTTTTTTGTTGTTGCTGAAAGAGGGTTTCTCTGTGTAGCTCTGGCTGTCCTGGAACTCACTCTGTAGACCAGGCTGGCCTCAAACTCAAGAGATCTGCCTGCCTCTGCTTCCCAGGTGCTGGGGTTAGCCTCCAGCAATCAGCTCAATGTCAATTGTACCTTAGTAAATCTACTTTGAGAAACAAATGAGCTTTGCCACGGGACCCATTCTTAGCACTCTGTGAATATGTACCGCTCACCTTCATTAGGGCCAGAAGATGCAGCTACTGTTAATATCACCCTTCTCACTCCCCCAACTAGGTCAACAAAACACAAAGAGCTCAGGTCCCTTTACAAAGGGCACCAACTTGGTGAGTAACACAGCTGGGGCTCAGCTCAATCATCCATACTCCAGACTGTGCCACCACTGGGTGGTGCTGAAGAGGACAGTGGTGACAACCTCCTGTACTGCTGGGGCAGCCTATCTGAAGAAAGCTGGCAGTACAGTACAGAATCAAACTAGGCAGAACACCCTATGACTCAGCGACTCTGCTTCTATGAGTAGTTATAAATATAGACAGTCACAGTCATGACATAGACAAATCTCCCAAAGGAACCAAGCATAAAAAGTCATGGCCACATTATTATTTGCTGTGGTTGGAAATTAGATGGGACGTAAGAGACCACTAATGGGACCATAAGCAGGTAAAATAAGATGACCCTGCCTGCCTCTGCCTCCTGAGTGTGCACTGTGTGTTTTGAGACAAGGCCTCTCACTGTGTTACTAAACAGAGTTAGGTTGGCCTCAAATTCTCCATGTGGCTCATGAACCCCCAGTCCTACCTCCACCTCCTTAATGGAGTGTTGGGATTACAGGCATGTGACACCAGGCCTATTTTTTTTTAAGATTTTATTTATTTATTATGTATCAACATTCTACTTCCATGTATATCTGCACACCAGAAGAGGGCACCAGATCTCATAACGGATGGTTGTAAGCCACCATGTGGTTGCTGGGAATTGAACTCAGGATCTCTGGAAGAGCAGTTGGTGCTCTTAACCTCTGAGCCATCTCTCCAGCCCCGACACCAGACCTATTTTTAAAAAATACTTTATTTAACTTTTATTTTATGTGCGTTGGTGTAAGGATACCAGATCCCCTGGAATTGGAGTTACAGACAGCTGTGAGCCGCCATGTGGGTGCTGGGAGTAGAACCCAGGTCCTCACAAGAGCAGCCACTGCTCTTAACCACTGAGCCATCTCTCCAGCCCCAAGGCCTATTTTATATAGTGCTGGGGACGGAATCTATGGATTCATAAATGCTAGAGAGTCACTCTATCAACCTGACCACCTCTCCAACCTGGAGATACACTTCTAAAAGGAAAAACAGGTTGGCAAGATGGGTCAGTAGGTAAAGCAACTCCATGTAAGTCTGACAACCTGGATCCTACCGTCTTCTGACTTCCACAAGTGTGCTATCACACATACACACACACACACACACACACACACCACACACACACACCACCACCACCACCACCACCACCACCACCACCAATAATAGTAATAATGTATTAAAAGTAAGATGAGCCGGGCGTTGGTGGCGCCTCTAATCCCAGTACTCGGGAGGCAGAGGCAGGCGGATCTCTGTGAGTTCGAGGCCAGCCTGGTCTCCAGAGCGAGTGCCAGGATAGGCTCCAAAGCTACACAGAGAAACCCTGTCTCGAAAAACCAAAAAAAAAAAAAAGTAGATCAGTGAAGACAGGAATCAAGAGCTGTGTTATGATTGGTATGGTGACAGTACTCTGACAGCTGAGACAGGATTGCCTTGAATTCCAAGCTAGCCTAGGCAATGGAGTGATACTGTCTTAAAACTTAGGTCATTAGTTCAGTAGTCTGCACCTGTCCCAAACACACAGATAAAATACAAGAAAGAGCAGAAAGGAGGAAATGTTTCTGGAACTGGGGGCAAAGCTCCACCTCCCACCCAGGAGATGGAAGCAAAGTGAATCTGTGTAGTTACTGGGAGCTGGAAGCAGGCCTGGGAATATCCTGGGTTTCTCCTGCAGTCCTCTTGCCTCCTTACCTAGATACAGGGTTTAGAAAACAAAAGTCTGCAGGGATTAGCTTCCAGAGATAAGCGGCAGAGATTAGGAAAAGCCACAATGGGTTCTGTAAAAGATCAGCACACACACAGCTCCAATGTAAAGTTTCTCTATTTTATGTGGCTCCCTTTTCTTCCATCCAATTTAGTTATTCCATCTCCAAATTTCTGCCTCTTTTCTCCTTCCCAACTCTCATTATACCCTTTCTGAATCCTCTACTTCTCCAACACTTTTTTTTTTCTGAGACAGGGTTTTTCCGTGCAGTCCTGGCTGCCCTAGAATTCACTCTGTAGACTGTAGACCAGGCTGGTCTCCTCCAACTCAGAGATCCACCTGCCTCTGTCTCCAGAGTGCTGTAATTAAAGGCCTGAGACACCACTGATGGGCTTCTCCAACACTCTTTTTGTTTGTTTGTTTTTCAAGACAGGGTTTCTCTGTAGCTTTGGAACTTGTCCTGGAACTCTGTAAACCAGGCTGGCCTCAAACTCACAGAGATCCACCTGCTTCTGCCTCCCAAGTGCTGGGATTCCAAGTGTGTGCCACCACTGCCCAGCTGTCTGATTCCACTTTCTATGCATTTGAACACCAAAGCTGGAGTGGTAACTTGGTACTTAGGAGTGTTTGCTGCTCTTCAGATGACATTAGTTCACTTCCCAGTAACCACACATCAGGCACCTCACAACTGCCTGTAACTCCAGCTCTAAGGGATATGAGGCCTTCTTTTGGTGTCTGCTGGCATGAGCGCACGCGCACACACACACACACACACACACACACACACACACACACACCAAAACAAAAACCACTTTAGGATACCTGAGAGACATCCCAATGAGAGCTGAGCGACTAGGGTTTCAGCATCCAACCCTGTTCCCATTTACCACATGGCTTTCACCTCAGCCCTGTCCATGCCTCCCTCCTGTTCTCTTCTGTGTCTTGACCTTTCTGGCTCCTGCACTCTCTTTCTGCCATTTCCCCTTATGGCATCCCACCATCCCTGTGTCTGTTTCCCTTCCTTCTCAGTCCTCCTGACCTTCCAGCAGTCTCTCCTCTTCCTTTCTGGTTATAAATTATTATTGCCCCATATACATTATCTACCATAATCAGCAGACCAACCCTCAAATTTGGCTTTGATAGTGGTCTTATTTTCAATCAGTGGGATTAATATTCTTTCAGTGGATGCATGCAACCAAAACAAACTAACAAACAGAACAACTTGGAGGCAGAGGCAGGTGGATCTCTGTGAGTTCAAGACCAGTCTGGTCTACAAGAGCTAGTTCCAGGACAACAGCCTCCAAAGTCACAGAGAAACCCTGTCTCAGAAAAAAAAAGAAAAAGAGGCAGTGACTCTAGGCAAATGTTAACCTCAGATTTGCAGTCTCAACACTCAGAAGACTGGATAAAACAGCATGTTTGAGGCCAGCCAGTAGTACATAGTGAGTTTCCAGGCCAGCTTCAGGTACAGAGAGACTGTCTCAAAAAAGAAAGCAAAACAAAAGTGATGTGGTAAGACTATTGAAAATTTGGCACATGCCATTAATCCCAGAATTGGGGAGGGAGGGGCAGAAGGAGATGGATTTCTCTGAGTTCCAGAACAGCCAGGGATACACAGAGAAACCTTGTCTCAGAAAAAAAATCAAACCAAACAAACTATTGAAAATTGTACTCTACCCTTCTCTTCCTTCCTTCCTTTCTTTTTTTTATTTATTTATTACATATACAACATTCTGCTTCCATGTATATGTGTATACCAGAAGAGGGCACCAGATCTCATTACAGATGGTTGTGAGCCACTATGTGGTTGCTGGGAATTGAACTCAGGATCTCTGGAAGAGCAGTCAGTGCTCTTAACCTCTGAGCCATCTCTCCAGCCCCCTTTCTTCTTTCATTCCTTCCTTCTTTCTTTCCTCCTCCTTCTTCTATTTTCTTCTTGAGACAGGGATTTTCTGTGTAGCCCTGGCTGTCCTGGAACTCAAACATAAGAGACACCTCTGCCTCCTGAGTGCTGGAATTAAAGGTGTGCACCACCACCGCTCGCCATTCTACCTTCCTTTCATTATGAATTTAATTTTATTATTTTTATGTGAAGCAATGTTTTGTCTGTGTGTATGCCTGTGTACCACATGTGTGCCTGGGGCCTATAGAATCCAAAAAAAGGGTGCTGTAGCATCCAGGTGGGTCCTGGGAGAGCAGTCAGTGCTCTTAACTGCTGAGCCATGCCTCCAGCCCCTATGCCACCTTTTTAAGGAAAGAGGGGAAACAGGGAAAAGCAGTCAGTTCATGATATTTTTGGACTAAAGTGGTAGTAGAACAGATGGAGAAAACCCAGTGTACAAGAGAGGAATGAAGTCAAAACACCAATGCCGGGAAGCCCCCAACTTCACTGGAGTAAGAAAAGTAGGAGGAGTCCATGTTTGTATATGTTCGTCTTATGAACTGCACCATTCTGGCGCTCCAGAGAGGGGTGGATTGAAATCTCAGGGGAACTATTAATAGAGACCCCAGCCCAGAGGCTTCCTACCCTGGTCCGATCCACTGAGTTTCCTCGCTCTTCCTCTAGATGGCGCTACAGCCCTGCACTTCTCAGGATCGTTTTCTGACCCGAGCTCTCTCTACACGGTCTGGCTTCTCTCTCCCTGGACGTGCCTAGATCGTGCCTTCTCAGCTGCAGACCCAAAACAGGAGCTGACTGTGGAAAGCATGTCACCCACGCGGCCAGCACATGCCTGGAGGCTCAAGGACTTCAGGGAGGGTAGTGTGGCTGGCGTGAGCACCTGTCCCTTGGGCCCCCTCCAGAAACCAAGGTAGGGAATGTGTGTAGGGGATGGGCCAGTAGGCAGAGCCCCGCCCAAGGTTCGGTCCCCAGACACGCCGGGAACGGAAGCGATTGGTCCCTTGGGCCATCCCCTTTAAAGCCAACCCTTTAAGGCTCCATGTCCCTTGCCCTCCCCCGCTCGGGACACCCGGGACCTGACATTTGGCGGAGCCTAACGTGGGAGCTAAAAATAGCCGCCCCGGGTTACTTCGGGGCATTGTTTCTGACACACGCACCCCCGCGCGCTCCGTGTCACCCTGCTGGAGTTACCCGGTACCCTGGCTGCAAGGGCACCTTAGCCCATGCCCTCCTCCTCTTCGACCTCACAGGGGGACCAGCTGCACTCAACTCTTTAAGAAGTTTCGCAGTCCAGGATTTTGGATGGCGGGAGGAGCGTTTTGTACCAAGAACCCTACTTTGAAAACTCGGAGGCTGGCGGGAACCACAGGGGCGTGTCTCCCCGTCCGCACTAGGCTAGGGGTGGGGGCGTGGCCTTTTGGGGTGTGTGGGCTCCTGGCCAATGGTGTTGTGAGGGGCGTGGCCGGTGGCGGGGCGGGAGTGAGGCGGTGGCTACAGCTCCCCGCATCTTTAACCCGCAAGCGGTTCCCACTGGATCCCGGAGAGCCGCGGTGCTCCCCGGCTCCTGGACTTGGCGGCCGTGGGTCCCACCAGACCCGCCCTGCGCACATCACTTTGGGGCGCCTGGCCGGGGTCTTCTCCCTCTGCCCACCAGGCGGGGGCAGGTACCGCATTCGCTTGTTCTCACTGCGGCGCCAGAGTCTTCAGTTCTTTTAAGATAAGATGCCGTCGGGTTTCCAGCAGATCGGCTCTGAAGTAAGGTTCAGCATTCGGGGGCGAGTCGCGGACGCGGGTCCGGCCTGTCTTGGGCGGGGGTCGAGGCTGGGGTCAGCTAGGAGGTGGTTCCTGCGCAGGCGCAAGGGTTGGAGCTGGGGGGCTGGCTATTTATACTCAGCCTAGACAACCCGTGACTGTCAGATTCCAATCCCGTCAAGAGGCAGAGGGGGTCCGAAAGACTCTTCACGCGCCCAGGCTGGGACTGGATTCTTACGAATCCAGAATTTGTGTCCTGTCTTAACTGTGCGCAGCACTGGGGGACACCTTGCCCTCGACTCTATTTGGGAAGGCAGATCCTGAGTCTCACCGCCCAGGAGCTGCGGGCCTGTTCAGACTCACAGTGTTTCTGGGACCCAGGCACTTCGGGGGCCCCACCCCCACCCCTGGCCGGCCTCCAGGAGGCTGAACTTTCTCTTGGCCTTGCGGTGGGTGGAGGGGCAGAGGGGAGGGTCAGCCCCCCCC